GGGGGGGGGCGGATCTTTACATTTGGACAAAATGGCTTTAGTTTTATGTGTGATATTATCAAAGCAATGGATTTTTTGTTAAAGCAAACTTCCCAAACAAGAACACTGTTATACTGGATTGGTAATCCATTCCAGATGCTTGAGTGGACCATATGTTCCCCAGGACCCCTTGTGTTGTGGCTGGGAAGGAAGGAAGGGTGAGATAACAGGAGGGATTACATTTAGATTACTTCTTCACTGGGCCCACTTAGGTGTGATTTGTACAAGATAAAGTGTAGGAGTGGGTGAGAGCCACACACAAGCATCCATCCACACATCAGGGGGAAAAGAGACAGGCATTTCACTGCTTCACAGAAACATGGCATTGGTGCAGAACATACACTAACATTCCTGAAGATGTAAAATACAGCACATGTTTCCTTGAGACACCAAAACCCACTGCCATCAAGTTGATTCTGACTCATAGCAGGCCTCATTGGGTTTCCAAGGCAGTAAATCTTTACAGAAATAGATTGCCTCATCTTCCTTCCATGGAATGGCTGATAGGTTTGAACTGCCAACCATCTAGCTGCAGTCAAATAAATGCCTTAGGCACTGCACTATCAGATCTCCTTCAAGACACCAAAGGACTATTTAAACTGAGAGTTTTCTTTATGTCTTTTGCAAGAATAGATATGAGGAACATTATTTAGTCTATAGAAAATAAAGCTGAAGGCAATGAATACCTGTGTTTTACTGACTATGCAAAGGCATTTGACTGTGTGGTGCATAACAAACTATGGATAACATTGTGAAGAATGGAAATTTTAGAGCACTTAGGTGTGCTCATGAGGAGCCTGTACTTAGACCAAGAGGCTTTTGTTTCAGCAGAACAAAGGGATAGTCCATAGTTTAAAATCAGGAAGGGTGTGCATCAGGGTTGTAACATTTGACCACATTTACTCAATTTGTATGCTGAGCAAATAATCTCAGAAGCTGGACTATATGGAGAAGAACACAGCATCAGGACTGGAGGAAGACTCATTAACAACCTGAGATATACAGATGACACAGCCTTTCTTGCTGAAAGTGAAGATGACTTGAAGCACTTGCTGATGAAGATCAAAGATTACAGTCTGAGTATGGATTACACCTCAACATAAAGAAAACAAAAATCCTCACTATTGGAACAATAAGAAACATCATGATAAATGGAGAAAAGATTGAAGTTGTCAAGGATTTCATTTTACTTGAATCCACAATCAACACCGATGGAAGCAGCAGTCAGGTAATCAGGTGTTGTATTACACTTGGCAAATCTGCTGCAAAAGACCTCTTTGAAGTGTTAAAGAGCAAAGATGTCACTTTCAAGACTAAGATGCACCTAACCCAAGCTATGGTATTTTCAATCGCCTCATACGCATATGAAAGCTGAAAAATGCATAAAGAAGACTGAAGAAACATTGATGCCTTTGAATTGTGATGCTGGCAAAGAATGCTGAAAATACCATAGACTGCCAGAACGTACAAATCTACACTAGAAGAAGTGTGTCTGAAATGCTTCTTAGAAGCAAGAATGGCCAGACTTCGTCTCACTTACTTTGGTCATGTTGTCAGAAGGGACCAGTGCCCGGAGAAGCATATCGTGTTTGATAATGTAGAAGGTCAGCAAAAATGACCCTCAACAAGGTGGATTGACCCAGTGACTATGATGATGGCCTCAGGCATAACAAGGATTGCAAGGATGGTGCAGGACCAGACAGTGTTTTATTCCGTTGTATGTAGGGTCGCTGTGAGTTGGAGCCTTCTTGATGGCACCTAACAATAACCATAGAAAATAAGGCATAATCAAGAAGACACCCAGAAGTAACAAACTTATTTGAAAGAGCTGTTCCATTTGTGCTTAAAACATTCTTTTGATGTTAGGCTGTTTATACACCTCCAGACTTATTCTTAACAGTATGCTATTATTTCCAATTAATTTTTTAGCTAATCAATTTATATATTGGCCTAATTACAGTTAACTCCAGAATGCTCAGTTATCAAATAAAAAGTCCTTTAACTCCCAAATGTCCATATACATTTAATAAGATGAACAAGATTCTTTCCATTTTTATAAATTTTGCAGGAAAAATGTTTAAGCTCAACATACCATACAGGCGTTTTCAGGTCCATACGATCCGGATCCACGCATCTAAAACTGAACTCATCTTTCCGTGCTAGTTCTTTCAGTGTAGTTGTGTTCTTCCAGAGACCAATGTTTAAATCTTGAGTTTTATGGGTGTTCTGGTTACTTAGTGCTGCTCTGACAAGAATATACCACAAATGGGATGGCTTAAACAAACAGGAGTTTATTCTTACAATTTGGAGCCTTTAAGTCCAAGTTCAAAGTGCCAGGCTCTAGGGGCTGGGTGAAAGCCCCTCAACCTTGGGGTCCAGCTCTGCCTCCTGCTCCCAGCCCACTGGAGTTAGAGGCGTTTCTTCACTCAGACAGCTGCTGACTGCTGAGACTGAGAAGCCCCAATGTTGACAAGTAAAAAGGCACGGTCTCGATGTTACCAAACCGCATGGCAGACCATTAACTTAAGTCCATTGTAAGTCCCAAGGTCGGCAGAGCATAGCAGGCTGCTGAGCAACGACATGGCTACACGCAAGGTCCAAGCGTGCCATACACTGGAGACCATTCCCAAAGCTTCTCCTTATATACAGCAAGCAGACCACATCCCAAAGGTAGCTACTCAGCTGCTTGTGGTAGATCCCACCATGGAGTTGATTGCCAGTCTCATCATGGGGAATAACTACCACCAGCTGCCCAACCACTCAACCAGGCCCAGCCAAATTGACACACAAACATAACTACCACAATGGGCTTTAAAAAAATCTTTCCTCCATCCGCTAGTATTCCCTATCTCTTGGCCCCCTGAAATAAAGAAAGTTGATTATTTTGATTTCATTTCCGGCGGCTAGTCTTCCTTCAGACTTCCTGCTTCTCTGCTCTCCTTTGAGCTCTAATCACCATGTGCCTGGACTGGTGAAGTATCAGGCAGGGGAATCTCCACTTGCAGGGTGGTTGTGAGCATTAGGGAGCATTGCAGGAGACAGTTTTCCATGGACCTCTCATGCACACCAACTGCCTTTGTTCTGTACTTTGTACAGTGACTAACCTTGAAATATAGGCCTCCCTCTGGAGCAGAGGACAGGTTTTCTTACTGTTCAGTATAGTTAAAGATATTGTCTCCCTCTGGCACCAAGGTCAGCAAGCCTTATTACCTATTTTAAAAGATTAGGGTTCTCTAAGCTTTGGATTCCTCAGCTGTGATACATAACCACTGCATGCACAACAGCCACCTGAGCCCTTCTGTGTCATCTCTGTGGGACTTGGTGGGCAAGGGCACTGGACAAAAATATGCTCATGCTGTTGCTATGTCATGAGTAATAAGGTCCTTTGTTTCTGATCCATGAATCTTTGGTGGGCTAACTTGTTAGATTGCAGGTATTGTGAAATCCCAGACCCTTTGCGGTTCTTGACAAGCATTTAGGTTACATTAAACACTGGGTAGATATTTGATAAATAGTAACTATTATTACATTGTTTTCCAAAGATCATTGAGGCATTGTGGAGGGTGAATTAGACGAGGTTAAGGCTGGAGTTAGGGAGACCAGTTAAGAGGCTCCAACAGTAAGTCCCAGATGATCAGAGCATGAACTCAGCCATTGTCAGGGGACTTGAATAAAGAAAAAAAAGGACTGAGAGAAGCTTAATGAGGTGGAACTGACAGGATTGGGGGACTAACCGAATGCGAAAGAACATAGAAGAATCAAGAATTACTTCAAGGTTATGGATTGGGAGACGGGTGTGTTGGCTGTCCATAAAGATGGATACACAGGTAGAAGATGATCTTGTAGGAGGAGATGAATAAAGAGAAAGTAATAGCCTTGGGTACTGGAACAGCCAGGAGGTAAAATGATTAGGCAATTGAGTGAGGAGTCTAGAAGTAGAGGGAGCAGTATGGTTTCAGAGAGATGTATGGGAATTAACAAAATACAAATGGTTGTTAAATGATGGGAATGGACAAGATTGCACAAGAGTTTTATGGTGCTTAAAGGCTTCTGAGACTGTTCTATTTGAATTGCCTGTGCAGCTCAGTGGTTGACTAATGCTGATTTATACCCCCAGCCCCACCAACATTGTATCTATGAACAAATACATCAAGCCTCCAACGGCTTGTATTGAAGCTGAGTATCAGGATAGATACCTACCCACTAGGCCTCACTTTGCTCCCAGGGTGCTGGGTGTGACCAGATTTACTTTGAAAAATGAGTTCCATTGCTAATAGCAGGTCAGAAGGGAGAGTGAAGAGTGGAAAGAGATAGGAGCTAAAAGCTGAACCTTCAAAGACAGGTGAGACCATTTGCATTGTCTGGCCTTTGTTCCTTTCACCTACCCATCACTTTCCATAGGAGACTAATGAGAAAGAAGGAGAAACACATTAGGCTAACTGTTCCGTGATATTTATGCTGTTGCTTTGTACCTTTGTGAATCTGAATATTAAGCTTTGTGCATTATGACTGACTTCCTTTAGATTCACTGGGTTCAATCATGGTATTGTATGAAGAGCTTGACCTTTGAAGAGTCAGATGGACCTGATTTTGACTCTGGATCCACCACCTACTGTCTTTGTGACATTGTTGTTGTTGTTGTTATGTGCCATC